GTGTTGATTATTTTGTGCGTTCTTTCTCTTTACGTTTTGTTTTCTTACTATGTTCTTTTATGTACCTATTATTGTGTTTGCTTGATAATTAGGTAGCACTGGAAACATATGAATAGAAATATAGAATTTTTAGGTAAACATATTTTTTTACTAAAACTATACCTTCTACATATGGTTAATGTATGAGTTACTAGTCTCATTGTCATGTGAAACAAACAAAAATGGTGTTGTCAAATATTTTAGTATACGAAACGATAGTAAATATATACAAATGGATCAATTAGATCAATACTACTAGAAAAATTATAATTTTATGCAGGTACTACTGATTATAAATAAAAACTATCAAAATATAACTATGTGGAACATGGTACTACTAAAAAACTAAGTATGATTATTAGTAAAATTTAAATATTTTTTATTCATTTGACGGCACATGTTAAATATGTTTTTTTTTTAATTCTTATTTTTTTACATACATGTTTTATGCTTAACACACAGTAGTATCTAGTAACACCAGTAGTAACAAATCCAATTTAACACAAAACAAGAGTTCAGTATTACTTTTAGTTATCCCATGTACATATAAGTACCTATCAAACAAACTGCTCAGTGGGAACATTAATTCTTGTCTCTTACATCTTGTGTTTACAAAACCAAATCTTGGTGAAGAGTCGTATTTTAATTCCCACTGTTTTCACAGACACACACAAAAGGTGTCACTACTATACATAAAGCAGCACCCAAAGAAAAATACAAAGAGACCCCATTTTATCTCATGATCCTGTGTGCACATATATAAGCTACGTGATCACTAATAAAATCAAAGAATGCTACACTAACACTGCCACAATGTACACACTTTGCTTCTGTATGTCTTTAGACCCGGATTGGTAAACCGTAGTAATGGAACACAATCTTTTGTCCAAAAACGCAATGAAACTGCAGAAACCGTTTTCCTTTTCCTGAGAGAAATCCATGATAAGATGTGATGGTTTTTGGTTTCTGAGGAGAAGCCTTTTTGTTGGGTTGAGAGTAGTCCCCATACATGAATTCCTGAAGCAGAGGTTAGATTAAAACTACAAAATATCCACCAAGAAAATAACAAAGGAACTTCAAACAAACTCACAAAATATTCCCTGTAAACTGAGAGTAACACTCCCACCAAAATCGCCACCGCGTTCTGCTTTTTTAGGTAACAAGCGAGTTTAGCACAAACACTTGTCTTCCCAACTCATGGTGATCATTTGGCCAACAACAGTAGCTCAAATACTTCTCCACCAATCAATTTCACCAGCTCATCATGTACAATCCGCAAATAATCCAAGATGGCTAAGCTTAAATACTACTGAAGCTAACAAATGATCACAAGAACCGGTTCATTGGTAAATTACCTTGACCAACTGCTGATCTGGTTTAACTCCTCGAATGACACACGTTCCCACGACTTGGTCACTAACAGATTGAACAACTGGGAGATTCACCTGTTAACAAAACCAAAAAGCGACTAAAATTACTACCATTATATCGCCTTCTCTACAAGAACCACCCTTACGAAACAGAACAAGCACCACTCACATCTGCTTCCAGGAGACCTCAGCAATATTCTCCTTCCTCAAGACTTCTGCAAGTTCAAATAACCGTAACTAGCTCGTGCTCATGGCAACCCCTTAACTTACAAATTGACCACTTGATTCAAAAATCAAGAAAACTAAATTCCCTCTAATACATTCCTCGTTCCAAGAGGTTAGCTATTATTTATAAATGGTCAATTAACTAGCTAGTGGCGAGATTACACTTCTCTTGACTATAAATTGTTTGATGCACCACAAATACGAATGAAGGTTTTGGGAATCTATCTATTGTAACTCAATGGTTTGATCTAAATACTCGTTCGCAAGCATTAAAGTAGTCTAAACTACAAGCACATGAAAATTGGCGTCAAGTTACCTGTTACTTTACTGAAGAAAGCATTCTCATAAGTCTTATACTGAGTCAAAGCATGTGGAATGAAATCCTGCAATCTCAAAACAAAAGTAACTATCGTTGGAAGAGACGAAAACATATACACATACAGCTAATGGAACTGTAATCCATATGATATCTTTAAGCAACATTGTTTCTTTGGACGAGATGTAAGAGAAGACAAACTCAATGTTGGGAGATAATCAAAGCAATATTTCTATACAAAATACGCCATTTTGAAGAGATGAAACAGAATCAGAGTCCATGAGAGACTGGGATCAAACACTTGTTGGTGGAAA